CCCTCTCTCTCCCTCTCTTTCTCTCACACGTAAACGACCCTCCATGCACACAATCAGAACCCACACTACATAAAGCAACACAAAGGCTTCGACAGCCATTATTCATTGACTGATACAATCTTAGTCACTGGTATGTGCACGCCTCCCTGACCACAAAAGCCAGGAGTCAGTGCATTGAGGGGAGCAGGGCTCTGTTTTACACTCTCCGCTCAGCTCAGAGAGGACCTATTGCCCTGCCTGGAGAATCCTGTTTTAGCTGGGGAGCTGAGTGAAAAGGTCATAAAAACGTGTCACGACGCGGTGGAATCAGGCGCTCGTCAGTAAAAAAAAAAAAAAAAAGAGTTAACGGCATAACCTAAAAGGATATTCATTTGCTTGAATATTGTAGGAAAAAAAAGCAAGTAAAACCCCCCCAGGGCATTTAGAGTTATTGGTATAATCTTAAAGCGTGTTCATTTGTCTTGCTTTTAATGAAAAAAACACACAACCCTAACCCAAAAGCCCCCAAAACAAACAACAATAACCCATCCCATAGAATAAAACAACAAAAATAAAACAACAAAAATCACCCATTTATCGTGAAGAGAAGACCAGATGTTTGCGATTGAAGGAGGCGGGGTCGCCATGAGGTGTGAGAAGTAAAGTTAGTGAGAAAACAGCCACCAAAGTTAGGTGTCTCCCAAAGCTTGAATGTCCTTGGAAACTGCACATTTACATTTTCGTGCCTTTGAACAACGTTCTCAGTAGAATCAACACAGAAATGCTTTTGTAATGGATAGAAAGGGCGTTGGACCCCCCCTCCCCGCCATAAAATTTGATTTAAAAAATTAGAAAACTTTACCCAACAGGTACAATGTAAGTTTCTTCGATTTCATTATACTGACGAGCGCCTGGTTTCACCACGTCATACAATACTTTAATGTGCTATTCGTCAGTTGACTCGGTCAGCTAAGGAAAAGATAGCTGATTTGCAGACCTTGGGCATTCTTCTGAGGCATTCTGTTAGTGTTTGGTCCAAGATGATAATTTTGTTGAGTATTGTATAGCTCTGCGCATTTCCGTTTGTGTTTATCTCGGTGTTAAGTGTTTTATCTATGTGTTGGTATTTATTCACATTATATATGTGTGTTTTTTTTGTCGCGTGAGTTTGTATTTATTGATTTTGCATGTCTGTTTGTGTCGTTGAGCGTTGGGTATTTCGGCACGAGAATGCGAGTGCGTGGATGGGTGTCTATGTGTGTGTGTGTGTGTGTGTGTGTGTGTGTGTGTAAG